ATTTATCCACACAGTAGAAAATGCAAATCTCTGATAAAAGTTAATCCTTTAATTAGTGTCACCCTAACAACGCATAGCAACCGGTGTGCTTTAATATAGCTTAAATTTATTAATCTTATCCGAGTTTTAGTACTTTAAAAAAAAACTAGCAATAAAATATAGAAATCGCTTGACAATTATATATCATAACCTCTAATTTCCATGTGTTTATATAACCCTAGACAGCAACATATTCTCTCGTATATAGACCTCATGTGGCAGACCGGGATAAAGATATTATTTTAATTGTAGATACATGACAAATCTTTCCGCATGCTATTTCTCAGCGTTTTGACGCTTGATAATATTTATATATTACTTAACAACAAAACATTTAGCTGTATACCTCGAATATATAAGTTTTAGATATATAACACTAATGCTATTTCATATAGTATCAGATTTTTTACTCCTCTAGGAGCTAAATTAAAGAAATCACTTGACAATCACAGCAAAATGCTATAGCTGTATCATAATATTACTTAACAACAAAACATATAGCTGTATACCCCGAATATATAAGTTTTAGATATATAACACTAATGCTATTTGATATAATATCAGATTTTTACTCCTCTAGGAGCTAAATTAAAGGAATCACTTGACAATAACAGCAAAATGCCAGAGCTGTATCATAATATTACTTAACAACAAAACATATAGCTGTATACCCCGAATATATAAGTTTTAGATATATAACACTAATGCTATTTGATATAATATCAGATTTTTTACTCCTCTAGGAGCTAAATTAAAGGAATCACTTGACAATAACAGCAAAATGCCAGAGCTGTATCATAAACGTGGAGGGACGCTAAAAAATGCGTAGTCAGCAAGTTTCGCCCGATCGTGTTTAAACCTGCCCGCGTGACGTCATTGCATATAATTATGACGTATGTTAATGAGTGACGTCACTACGCACCCTCATTTGTGCGGCCCCCTTAATTACCTGCATATATAATGTGCGGCCCCCTTGCATAGTAATTACCTGCATATATAATGATGCGGCCCCCTTGCGACCCCCCTGCGGCCCCCTGCGTGACGTCATTGCATATAATTATGACGTATGTTAATGAGTGACGTCATTACGCACCCTCATTTGTATGAATATTAATCCTTTGTATGAATATTAATTAACGCACCCTCATTTGTATGAATATTAATTAACGCACCCTTACGCACCCTCAAAAATCCGGGTCGAACGGCCCCTATATTACTACTCATGTTTAGGTTTCGCTGGTATGGCTAATTGGACAGTTTCAATCGCTCCAGATACACTAAAATCAAGGCTTCAAACAGGTACTATATTTCTTGAAATTCTTGAGTTCCAATGTAAATAGCAATGAACAATATTCATGATCTTGGATCAATTAAGGATCTAAATTGACAACCTCGCAAGCCAGGCTCTCTATTTCCGCTTCATGTTTGGGAGAGAAGTGGAAGTAGGGGACCTGCCTTGCGAGGTTGCTAAATTGGTACTACATCAGTGTACTATATCCGGCGTACTGATTCTGGGGATTGTACTTTAAAAACACTCTGGTTAAAAATTTCCTGGTTAATCTAAAAATAAAAATAACACTGCTTGGGGTAACTTAATATGATCACTATCGTGTCTAATTTAACCAGAGTTCTTGGTTAAGTTAACCAGGTTGTGTTAGCTGGATTATTAACCAGGAATTCTTAATTGGTTAAAGCTCCACCTATTGAATTATGAAATTTGACCAGGAACATTAAGTTCTCCCAAACAGGGTTCATTTTAGATTAACCAGGAAATTTTGAACCAAGGTGTTTATAGATTCAAAGATCATTTTTAGCACTAACCCTGGGTGAGGTCTGCGTTAAAATCCATCTCACTGTTTTCGTTTGTTTTTTTTATTGCATGGTTCTTTATTTCGAGAACTTTAATTAGAAAATAGAATTTTAATAAATTCAGAAAACATCTATGGAAATATATTCCATGTTTACATAAGATTCCATGATTTCATGGATTTCATGATTTCATAGATTCCATGATTCCATGTTTTTCTATGTTTACAATAGGTATTAAGGCCTGTTTAAACGGATCCAACATTGTTGGACAAACATCATCCAACAATGTTACTATAATAGATATGACTGCTTCTCTTTCAAATCTTTCTGGTTAGATAAGCTTTACTCAAACTCTAAACCTACTAGTCTTGACAAAAATATTTGAAAAAGAGGCCGTTTGGGCCATTATTTCAACAATGTTGGATGATGTTGGCCCAACAATGTTGGATCCGTTTAAACAGGGCTTTAGTAAGATAAGTTTCTCAGTTCAAAAATGTGAGCTTACCAGGTTTTAAGCTAATAGGTTTTCGAAATACCACGGTTCCTGCTGAAGAACTAATCTAACGCTATACTACAGTATGATACTTCACAGACTATAACTAGGGAAAGGCAGTATCAGAAATCCACATTGGATGTTGTATTCACAACGTAGACCTCCTATACTTATCACTTGATTCTGTTTTTCCTAGCTCCTGACGGAACCTACCCAAATGGAGTTCGTGATGTTTTTAAACAATTAGTAAGTTTATTGTTTAACTATTAAGTGTTTGTGTTCCATATATATTGAACGCCTTATAATGAGCTCCATAAGCGACCATGCCCGTGGGGTAAACGTCATTATTACGTGGTGTTTCCACAAACAAAAACAATTATATTTTATCGCCATGCAAACATAGTACAAAGAACTTAGTACATATTTTGATAAATCGGAGTACAATTATAATTTCAATATATAATTGTTCAGTAGTTAGAGACACAAATTTGTGATTATTTCACACTTTAGATGCGTGAAGAAGGTCCCAAAGGTTTATTTAAAGGATTGACGCCAATAATGTTTCGAGCATTCCCAGCTAATGCGGTAAGTCATCCATGAGAACTGAGAAGTAAATGCAGATACTGAAGCTCTGTCGTCACGCAAAATGTCCGTAAGACCAACAACGACTGACATTGCCCCTTTAATGTTCTTTTCTTTAGGCATGTTTCTTAAGCTATGAAATGGCAATGAAACTACTAAACTGGATGGCACCAAGTTGGTAGAAGACTCAATGAATTGCTTACATGTTAAATATGGTAGGAATTATGGATTACAACGATTGATATACTTTCTTGTATAGATTTTGACTTGTTATTTAACCAATTTTATGTCTGAACTCAATAAATATTTGATATATGTACTATCTCATGATATACTAAATGCTAAATTATTATATTTATCGACAAACTGTTTTTGCTGTATGGTTTTCGACATATTTGTATACTTCCTGCCTTTCTGCTATCAAGTAAACCTTACTGGACGCGATATAATACATTAGCCTATACAGTATAATACCTTACTGAATTCTGATCGTTTAATTGGCTGTTTATGGTCACGTGATATTGAATAGAAAATCCCATTTCCCAAGAGTGCAATGGAATACGTTCCATTGCACTCTTTGCGAGTGCAATAGTACTTTTATCATTTATAGACCCGGAGCGAGGGGGATTCGGCGAAATATTTCCCGAAGTGATGATATTTCCCGAGGGCGGAGGGTCTATAAATGATATATTATACCCTGCCTCCTCCGCAGGCCCTTACTATTTGTAGATCAGTGTATATATAGACATATCAGTTTAATATATAGATCAGTGGCTGAACAAATCTGTTATGATGCATGCTGGGAAGACGAAAAAAATTAACTCCTCCCCTTCCCATCGTCCTGCGCGCCCCCATTAATTTTCGTCTTTTACTAATTAATTATTTGATAGCAAGCGACTGGGGACGAGGCAGTATTATACCGAAAAAGATTTTTGAGTTTGTAGAATACAAACACATAGACTACAAGGCTGGTGTCAAATTTTATTTCCACACAAATAAATAACAAATATAAAAAGTACTAAACTGCGTAAAAATTAACTGTAAATCCACTATGCATGTCTCTCGTCGAGAATTCGATTTATTTCCTCGTCAGACTCTGTCATTTTTGCCTTTCAAGCAAACAACATTGTTCCCGCCATTTTTTAGCCTTGCGTGTGGTCTCGCGTGATGTTCGCGAATCATATTCACCGGTGAATTTGACTCATATTCACCGGTGAATATGACTGAAATTTCCTGCTGCACCAAATACGAATGACGTAAGCGCGATACGATGATAAATTTCACGATCACATGGCACAAATCTAGCTTTCTCATTGGACAATTTTAATTTGAGGTATAATATTTAACAAATATAAAACATTTTCCGTGTTGATATACAGTTATATCAACACGAGTGGAATTGGGAAAACGAGAAATGGTATGGAAACACGACGCCCGAAGGGCGGAGTGTTTTCATACAATTTCGAGTTTTCCCAACTTCCACGAGTGTTGATATAACTATATATCAATACGGAAAAATGTTTTATATTTTTTTTTATAATATAGCAATGTCAAAAGCCCGAAGGATGAGAAAAATTTCCGTGTTAACGAGCGGCGGAAAATTTCCCGTGTTGACATTGAGTTATATCAACACGGCTCTTAGCCAATCAGCGTTCAGAATTTACAAATGCTATATTATAATACGTTTTATTGCATTGCAGTCTTAGTCTTTTCGATAAATCGCATCCGTCAAAATGCTTCTCGTACGGTGATCACAATTTTATTTTAACCCGATATTCGAAACTCAGTATATGGGATTTAATGCAAATACGACTTGTCAAAACGGCGGGAGCTTACAGTAAACCTTTTAATATTAGTCTATTTTGGTATTATATAAAACAAATAATGAATGTTTTTATAACATTCCATCTTTCACCTCATGAAAATATTCTTACCATTGCACTCATAATAAACATTCATTATTTGTATAATATATATAGGATATTAGACGGTTGCGAAGAGATACAGTACTGCCAAGAAATAACTTGTCCCCGCGTCTGCCCGCGTCCTGCCTCCAGAGCGCCCGCGTCTTGCGTCCACTCTGCCCGCGTCCTGCCTCCAGAGCGCCCGCGTCCGGCCTCCACGACGCCCGCGTCTTGCGTCTGCTCTGCCCGCGTCCTGCCTCCAAAGCGCCCGCGTCCGGCCTCTAGTTAAAAACTGCGTCCGCTTGGACGCAGTCGTCGTAACATAATCGGAAAAACGAACTAATATTTGCATCATACTCGTAGTTTGTCGTGAGAATACAGATCAGTTTCACTGATCGGAGAAGCAAAGAATAAAAAGTTGAATCCGAAATCGATTTTCATTTAACCTAAGCGTTACACTTAGTATAACCTTTTTATAATGTTATTCGTTTTACTACAGCAAGCGTAGTGCTTTCACAATGCAATCACACGTACTTGAGTCGCGATTGAAGCGTATATGACTGTATATTGGAGCGTAAAATAGACATAAACTATATATAATGTAGACACATATACTAAACTCAGTGAGATCACGACTACAACGAGTATATATCTCGCAACACACTGATTCATTTGCTACTCAAATTTTGACTTACCTCGTAGAAGATTGCCGATTATTTGATATGCAATTCTGTATTTGAATAATGTTATGTCTCCGTAACTCGTCAGTATATTAAAACGAAGATGCTCATTCTGGCCTCAGTTTGTCAACTGCAAGATTTGGCAATCAAAAGGAGAAATTAGATCTAATATTACCCATAACGGGAAGTTCTCAACTTATGTATAATGGAGCAAATAGAAGTCAGAGTTTCGTCACGTAATTTTGGTTGCCGTGTGAGGCAAAGAAGGCGTAGAGAAACGCGAGGTGTCAATTATAACAATCTAACCCGTATTAGATGCACAAATAATTATAATGAAAAAAAACAAAAACAAAATAAAACTATACTTCCGAGAATTTGCTGCTTGAACGCACGAAAGGTTGATGAACTTGCAGCATTTATGTCCGTCAACAAAGTTCATATAGCCGCAATTACGGAGTCTTGGTTGACTGACGAGATAGGGGACGATCAAATATCGATTGGTGGTTATGTAATTCATCGTAAGGACCGGACACATGGCCGTGGGGGTGGGGTTTGCGTTTATGTGTCTCAGCAGATATCCATTACGCGATACTTGGAATTAGAAGATTTAAATCTAGAGTGTATGTGGTTGTGGGCTCGACCACCACGCCTACCGAGACCGCTATCTGCAATCGCAGTATGTGTAGTGTATAATCCACCGGACAAAAGTGTGCAAGAACAGAGGGAACTTTGCGATTACCTTGTGTCCTCTATTCATACTATACGCTCTAAATACCCTGATTGTGGCATAGTCGTTTTAGGCGATTTTAATCGTTATCCGTTAATCGATTTTAATCCTCAGATTTGGCCTGCACCTTAATAGGTCAGGTAGTGGTATCATGGCAAGAAACTTAATTAACTGTATTCAGCATCTTTAGCAATTCTAAATTAGATATATTAGATGACCTGAATTCCAACCTACCCATGGCAAATATTAATTTAACCGACAACCCTTTTAGGCTAATTCCAACAAAGGGTCTGACTTTCTTCCATTTAAATATTCAGGCTATCACAAATAAATTGGACCAAGTTAAGCTTATGATTTCTGAATCCATAAGGCATAGGAAGAAAAGCAACATTATATTTTATTTCTCTGAAACTCATTTAAATTCTAACTGGTCTGATGACGAATTGCAAATTAGAGAGTTCAACTTCATTAGGAAGGACCGAACTTATGCCTCAGGTGGAGGTATTCTGATTTATATCCCAGAAACAATTAATTTTCAATATCGCAATGATTTCTCGTTACAAGAAAATAATTATCCGCTTGAATTTATTTGGTTGGAATTTAAGCATCCTAATTCAAAACCCTTCCTGATGGCCATTATGTATCAACCGGGAAATAATACTCTCTGGAGAGATAACTTAAACTATGTATTAGACATGGCTGACAATGAACACAAAGAAATAATTATGTTAGGGGACTTAAACACAAATTTTCAAGATAAACATTCTTATCAACAACTTCATGTTCTAACATCTCAGTATCAGCTTAAACAACTTATTGATGCAGTTACCAGGCCAATATCAGGTAAAACAATTGACCTTATCTTTACCTCTAAGGAAGATAATGTTATTAAATCAGGCGTGCTAGATATTGGGATGAGTGACCATTTGCCAATTTTTATCTCTAGAAAAATTAATTCCAGGATCTCAATTAAACAAGGTTTACATACAACGATTAGTTATCGCAGGAAGAAAGATTTTATTGCGAGTGATTTTGACAATGACCTTGTTGAAGAAATCCCGTTAAGCCTTTATGAAATCTTTGATGATCCAAACGATCTATTAGACTGTTGGTACTCTCACTTTATGAAAATTTTGGATAGGCATGCACCTTTAATAAAACGTAGAGTCAGAAATAATAAACTGCCGGGGTGGTTTAATTCTGAAGTACGTTGCTTTAGCCGCAAAAGAGACTTTTTCTTAAAGCAATTTCTAAAAACCAAAAACTCTGACACATGGTGTACCTACAAAAAATGGAGAAATAGAACTGTTCATATTATTAAAAAGTCAAAAGAGGACTACTATAAGAACCTCCTGACTGATAATGTACATAATCCACGACAATTATGGAAAATTCTAAAAGATATCTTGCCGACCAATGACACTGTCCCCCAAATAACACTTAACATTAATGGCAAGGAGATCAGTGATCCTATCGAGGTTGGCGATCTCTTTAATGAATACTTCTCCTCTATTGCAGACAACTTTGATATCAGTTTACTAAACAACCCGATTAATACTCATTTACCAATTGCAACAAATCATATTAAGTTTACAATTCCACTGATAACAATCGATGACATACTAAATCTTGCAGCCGAATTAGACCAGAACAAGTCAACCGGTCTTGATGGTATTCCTGCCTACTTCATCAAGTCCTCGATTCATTCCATTGCACCCATAATACTTCGCATTTGTAATATGAGCATTGAAAATGGCGTCTTTCCCAACATGTGGAAGAAAGCTAGACTGATTCCAATCTATAAAGCTGAAACACGTACTGAGAGAAACAATTACAGGCCCATTTCTATATTACCGATTCTATCTAAACTCCTCGAACGACATGTTGCCAACTCATATGTAAAATTCCTCACAGAAAATGATATTCTATCAAGTTGCCAGCATGGTTTTCGAGCCCATCACTCTTGTGAATCTACTCTAATATTGATCTGTGAACACCTTCTCGATAACATTGAGCAAGGTTTAATTAATGGTATAGCTCTAATTGACCTCTCCAAAGCGTTTGACCTGGTCGATCATAGATTGCTACTGCAGAAATTAGAACAATATGGCATTACTCCAATAGCTTTAAAATGGTTTAAATCGTATCTAAATGATCGTTACCAAGTAGTACAAATTGCATCATTCCTATCCAACCCAGCTCTGATAAAGTCTGGTGTGCCTCAAGGATCTATACTAGGACCAATTCTCTTTCTTATCTTTATTAACGATTTACCCAGTTACGTTGGAAGTTCTAAGCCTTTTTTATTTGCCGATGACTCTACACTAATATCCTCCGGATCGGACCTTCACGAACTTAGTGTCTCTCTAAAATCAGATATGACCTCAGTGTCCCGTTGGACTAACCATAACAAAATGTCTCTTAATCATGGCAAGACAAAAATAATGAAAATATATTCCCAATCCAAATTCCCTGATCTTAGTCCAATAACCATTGAAGTCAATAACAATAATGTTAAGGAGATTACATCCGCCATTCTACTTGGATTTACATTAGACCAACATCTGAAATGGGATAGGCAAATTAATACCATCTACAATATAATCAATTCTAGACTTTACCTGCTCAAACGTATACGTAGCTATCTCACTTTTCAATCCCGTATTCAATTATATTACGCACTAATCTACCCACACTTGCTATATTGTAGCACAGTCTGGGGCAATGCTAATAACGATCTAATTACGTGCCTACTAGAACTACAGAAACGTGCAGCGAGACTAATTCTTGAGCAGTCAACTGAAGTGCCTTCAATTGTGCTTTTTCGTAAACACAATTGGATACCTATTTTTAATTTGATCAAAATGAGAAAAATATTATTGGTATTCAATACTTTAAAAACATCTTGGCCGCCGGATCTTCGTAAATTGTTTGTCTTTGTTCGCGACTCTCATCCAATTCCAACTAGATTGTCTATTACAGACTTAAAAGTTCCATCAGTTAAGACCACGCAAGCAAAATCCAACATTTCCTTCAGTGGTGCAAGTTTATTTAATTCTTTACCTTCCGAATTAAAAGATATTGAAAATCACTCAATTTATTCCTATAAAAAGAAGCTCAAAACCTACTTTATTCAATTGAATTATGAAGTAGATCACGTTAATAAATTCCGCTGCATCGATTGTAAGCATATTACTCATTGTCAATGTTACTCTCAATAGGATTTTCTTTTTATATATTACTATTAGATATCGAGGGCCATTGGGAAGAATACTATATTAAGTAATCAATGTAATCCCTCATTAAATAATGTTTTATTATTTTATTATTATTATTATTTAGTTACAAGTTACAATCTTAAGCAAGTCGTCACGCGTCCGACTAGACAAGATTCAATCTTAGACTATATTATTAAGAACTTGAAATCCTTTTACAAAACACCGGATATTTCTGCTCCACTTGGAATATCGGACCATAATGTAATCATGTGGATCCCAAAAGACATTTTTAAGGATAATAATAATACGTGTACAAAGCGGACTGTGCGTCGGTATCCTGAGTCAGGTTTGAATGGTTTTGGTTTATGGTCAACCAGGAATAAATTGTTTAGTGGACTCGGACTCAATCCATCGTCGGATGAGTTAGCGTCATCTTTTACCAATGATCTGAACACTGCATTCGACCATTTTTTTCCAGTGAACACAATCAAATTTCATCCCACGGACAAACCATGGATATTGTTAATTGTTCATTGCTTACGTCCGAATATCCAACATTATGGAAGATGGCAGAAGTTGTTCCCCTCTTAAAAGATGGGGATCATGAGATCGCAGACAATAATCGTCCTGTGTCTTTGCTAATTGCAGTATCAAAGATTTGTGAACGAGTTGTATTGAATCAATTGACTGACTATATGTCACAAAGAAAAAGATATACTGAACACCAAAGTGGCAATCGATAATTACATTCTACAGAAACATTAACATTTTTATAACAGATCAAATCTTGCAGTCTATGGATCGTAAAGACGTTACGGCTTTAGTTTTAATAGACTTATCCAAAGCATTTGATAGCATAAATCATTCAATTCTACTAGTGAAACTTCAAACCATTGGTGTGTCTAATTCAGTGTTGGCATGGTTTAAAAGTTATCTATCGGGACGAAGCCAAATAGTACGTATTGGGTCGACATTGTCGGAAACATGTATTATAACTCGAGGGGTACCTCAAGGATCTATTCTTGGGCCGGCATTATTTAACATATATATTAATGACCTACCCAATGTTCCAAAAGAGTCCTCTTTGGAATCTTATGTGGATGATTCGAAAATCTATCTGGAATTTCCAATTCAGAATATTGAAACTGCTGCGTTTAAACTTACACAAGATATGGAAAGAATTACCGCATGGTGCTGTATAAATAGTATGCTAGTGAATCCAAAGGAAACGAAACTTCTATTACTGGGTACAAGTCAAATGCTGAAAAAACTCTCTGTCAAAGATTTCCATATAACTGTTCTTGGTGAGAATATAATCCCACTTCAGACGGTTAAAGATTTGGGAATGACTTTGGATTCAAGTTTGACTTACGACAAACATATTGTCGATACCGTCTCAAAATGTATCACTGAATTATGCCAAAACAACAGAGTTAAGCATATTTTCGACAAACACACTTTATCCCTTATTATAAATGCACTGGTCTTCAGTAAAATGTATTATTGTTCCTCCGTTTGGTCGAACACCTCGAAAAAGAATATATCAAAACTGCAAAGCGTGCAGAACTTCGCGGCACGCTTTATTACTGGAATCAGAAAATATGACCATGTGACGCCTATCCTTCAGCAGTTAGCTTGGCTTCCAGTTGAGTGTATGTTAAAACTCAGGGATGCGGTTATGACATATAAGTGCTTGAAAGGGTTAGCTCCGCCGTACTTGTGTGACAAATTCCAAATGAGATCAAAGATTCACAGTGTTAACACCAGAAATAAGGATAAGTTAGACATTCCACTGTATAATTCGGCTTCTGGACAGCGAACATTTCATTATCGTGCAGTGTCTATTTGGAATGAGCTCCCAAATCATATTAAAGACATTGACACTTTGGACCGGTTTAAAATAGAATATAAACGTCATTTATTGCATGGATTTTTAGAAAGTAGTTAACAGTTTTAGACAATTTGGACTTGTTTAAATAAGCATATAAACGTTTTTACTGTATGGACTTTATTAGGAAGTAGTTAATCATTTTTAAAGTGACATTACTAATAATTATAAAATTTTTAATTTGTGTTTGTATGTATGTACGTATGTATGTTTGTGGGTGTATATATATATTGTTTGTAGTATATAAATGATTTGTAATTACCTGTTGAAAAGCCCTTTTGGGAGCAGGCAATATTGTAATAATAATGAAAACTTTATTAATAGAACATTTATAGATATATACAATTGTAAATCTCACTTCTTGAGGTAACCTACAATTGACTACTTGAATCACTTATACGTGGTTATAGTTTTATATACAAAAATTGTTAATTATTTATAGAAATAGTTACTTTAAATGTTCATTAGTTCGGGATTTGTCCATTCTTTATTTCTACAGCAAAATATGTAGTACGTTGATCGGATGGCAATAGATATCATTTTTAATAATAATAATAATAATAATAATAATAATAATAATAATAATAATAATAATAATAATAATAATAATAATAATAATAATAATAATAATAATAATAATAATAATAATAATAATAATAATAATAATAATAAAGCAACTTATTAAAGAACGCCAACGTGCTTTCCACACTGGCGACGCGCAATTGTGGCGCCAATACAGACGGAAGGTCCAGATAGAGATTAAAACCAGGAAAAATAATTTCTATACCCAAAAAATGGTGGCACACTATTAACACAATGTCAGGTCGAGCGAAAAGCCAACCTCAGTTTACAATTGAGCGTGGCGGACAGTTATTATCGGAAGGTGAACTGGCAGAGTCTCTAAATGATTACTTCGTAAGTGTAGCAAGTGATATCCCACCACTTGATATTTCAAGCCTTCCAACATTCTTACCAGCTGAGGTGCCGCCTCCTACAATTCATCCTCATGAGGTTTGTAGTAAGCTCTTAAAACTTCAGACTAATAAGGCTATGGGCCCGGACAGTATTCCACCACGAATTTTAAAAGAGTTCGCCTACGAACTTGCTGAGCCAGTTACATCAATATTTAATACATCTTTGTCTTCTGGACTAGTACCTGTTTTATGGAAAGATTCTACCATCATACCCATTCCTAAAGCGAAACAAACCCAGGTTGAGAGCGATACCCGCCCCATCGCACTTACCCCTGTGTTATCGAAAGTACTCGAAGACTTTATGGTTAGTTGGATGGTTGAGGACATAGGTGAACCAATCGATAATCGTCAGTATGGCAGCCTGAAGGGAACATCTACCACCCTTTGCCTTCTAGATCTTATCCACCACTGGCTTTCTACAATGGACAACCCAGGTCATTACCTTAGAGCTTGCTTTGTGGACTTTAGCAAAGCTTTCGATAGAATAGACCACAATATTGTTATAACAAAATTGATCGATTTGGGAGTGCGCCGTTCAATAATCCCTTGGATTTGTAGCTTCCTTTCAAATCGCCGCCAGTGTGTTAAGCTGGGACAGTGCGTGTCCCGATGGCTTTCAACTAGTGCTGGGGTTCCACAGGGTACCAAATTGGGTCCAATCCTTTTTGTCATAATGATTAATGATTTGAAAATAGTATCCCCGCGTTCCAGTAATTGGAAGTACGTAGACGACGTGACGATATCTGAGATTGTTCCAACAAGGGAGGTATCTATACTACAAAACGAATTGGACGAAATTGGTAATTGGACAAGTACCAATAATATGAAATTGAACCCCAAAAAGTGTAAAGAGGTGATTGTCTCCTTTCGATGAGATATTGAGCATCCACCACCCACCTTAGTTGTTGAAACCATTAGTCTTGAAAGAATGGAATCTCGCAAAGTATTAGATTTAACGATCCAGAATAATCTGAAGTGGGATTTGCATATCAGTGAGATAGTAACCAAAGCATCAAAAAGACTACACATCTTACGAGTTCTCAAGCGCAGTGGAGTTTCACCGTTTCATTTACTACGAGTACATTTTGCACTTATTAGATCCCTGCTTGAGTACTGCTGTCCGGTATGGCATTCATCATTGACCATTAACTTGTCAGATAAAATTGAACGGGTCCAGAAGCGCACAATGCGAATAATCTACCCCACATTAAGCTATGACGCTGCTCTGGTCCAAGCTAAATGTTCGGCATTACGCGCAAGTAATGTTGTAAAGTTGTAAATAATTTCGCAATTCGCTTTCATCGAGCGCGACGATTTTATAATAAACCATTAATAATAATAATAATAATATATATAGTGCTTTTGATTTTTCATATAAAATACAATTACTACGAGCCACTATATAATTTTATTTACAGCAACAAGTTTGTGTTGTTTTTCCAAAACAGTAAATGCACATGGTGATATGTCATATAAATTGATAATTACCATATAATTTTTGGATAAATGACTTCTCTTAATCCCTTAATGGAATACCTTTACATGTCCAGGAAACAGTCTTTGTGTTTCAACACGGTTCAATGACTGTGACTCGTCGCTTGATTTTCAAAGTTGCAGTATAATTCGCTAAAGCTGAAGTGAAGAGCTCAGACTAATATCACTCGATCCGTATTACTATCAGACTAATAAAATGAGATATCGATCGCTTACTTGTCAACCAAAACGTATTTTGCGTTTCTTCGAAGAAGATATAAAACCATACGTGCATTTTGCCAATCGGCAACGTTAAAAGATTACTGGGTTTAAACCAAACGTTATACGAAGGTGCGAAAGTAGAGATCAAATACGAAAAGGCACTTTACAAAGCACAAATTCTGAAATTTTACGGTAAGTTTAATATTAGAAATATAAATATCTACGTCTGCAACGCTTGTGTATAAGCATAAAAACGTGGTGTGAAATCGCTAACATGAATATTTTCCGACGCCCACGGTTTGTTTATGAAAAGCGAAACGCGATAATTTCAATTCCGACGATCTACGAGTAGAACACATTCTCAGCTGCGTCCTCGCCCGCAGACGCAAAGCGGACGCATGGCGCCCGCACAGTGGACGCACCCGCAAGCGTCCGCAGACGCACAGTGGACGCACGACGGACACATGGCGCCCGCAGGACGGACGCACCCGCGGGCGCCCGTGGACGCACAGTGGACGCAAGATACCCGCGTCTTCGACGCGGTTTTCGATAAGTTATTTCTTGGCAGTACTGTACTATAGGCCAATTTGTCCTAGCTTAATGCATGCATAATAAATGAATTATTCTTGTTTTCAAAACAGCAATGTCGTGGCTGAATATCCCAAGACACAGGATCGAACAGAAAACACGTTTCCCGGGACAATGGTTGTTGTTCAATTGTTCTGTCAATACTTCCGAATATGTGACTTTGTGGTTTAAGAAAAACAGAAAATCTGATGAGGAACTTCAAATTATTGATAAAAAAATAGTGTTGGTTTCTAAGAATAATTTCAACATAACACGCTTGACAGACAACGATAGGGGATTTTACATATGCAGAGTTTGTGGTCAGGAAAGGCAAATATTTGCCGAAATATTAAAAGGTAAACTCGTTCTCAAAGTATATAATTAATGCTTAAATATTACTAAAATATTAAATTCGCAGTACGTACATTATTTACTTGTCAATGTTTTTCTTGACGCTTATTTTGTATATTTATATGTACATTATGTTCCTACTGTCCAGTGTGTGCGGCTTTGTTTCTCAGCATAGGTGGTATCACAAGGCAATTTCCTATCAGGATGATTTCTTATGAACTGCTAATTTCCCCTTGATCTTTGTGTAATTTTGACCTTCCCGAGTTGAGCAATCCCCAGTCTCGATTGCTTTTATCAGAGCTTGCATCGTTGAATCTTTCTGACTTTCCATTCGACTTCCTGAAGTGTCATGGCTTTTGGTACTGCGTTAGTACTTACATAGTTGATACATTCGTAACATCCTTCTGCTAGATTTGTTATCTGGGTCTCTGAGAAGTTTGTATGTCGTTGTACTGGTAAAATCTGCTGGATTTTCTTCATTTCCTCCAGGACGATAATACAGCTCACAATCGTAAGGTATCACTCTCTAATAGCCATCGATCAATTCGGGTTGACGTACGCTAGCTTATTGCTCTTGAAAATACCAAGTAAGGGCTTGTGGTCGGCGATGATGTGAATTTTCAGCGTGAAAAAGGGTGAAAATTTTCAGCGATACAAACTACAGCTAACATTTCTCTCTCAGTTTTGGAATATTTTGATTCGACTTGTGGCATGCGTAGCAGATATCTTTGTCTTCTCGCATTAGTATACCTCCAAGTTCTCCCGGGCTTGCGTCGACCACGATTTTCGTTTCTTTTGTTCCATCGAAGTACGTAATTATTTGTCTCCTGCAACAGCTTGTTTTAAAATGTCGATGGTACTCTGTTCTTCGGCGTTCCATTTCCAGGCGACGTCCTTCTTGGTCAGGTTTCGTAGTGGGTTGTAATCTTGGCATAATCAGGGTTGAATCCAGAAATATACTGCGCCATTCGTATAACAGTGACTTCATTTCAATTGCACACTGCGGTTTCACGGTTTTTATGGCATGCATCTTCTTGGGATCAGGTTTAATTCTGTTTGCAGTGAAGATATGACCATAAAACTCGATATCGGGCTGTTTGGCCCCTGGTGTTCTGTTTTGGTCCATGTTAGAGCCAAACCGGCCTCGGTTTTAAAAAGCCAAAATGGCCCTATTGGGCCAAAATGGCCCTTCTAAAATTACTGTGCACTTTTTGTCTCTTAAACGAATGTTTCATTACTTAAATATTTGGAGTATCCTTACAGGTAAACAAGGACTTCTTGCATGGCATTCTGAAATATTTCAGCTGTCGTGCTGATACCATAAAGAAGACATTTATATCTTCTAAGCCCAAAGCGGGTATAGAAAAAGTGGTGATGTAACGACTTTCCAGGGATAATTCAAATTGGTGGAATCCAAATGAGAGATTCAACTTACTAAATATGGTAGCACTACTTAGATCTGCAATAAAACCTGTGGGGCATTAAGTGCTTCTAACCGCTTTGTTAGCTTCCCGCATATCTGCGCAAATTGTCACCCTTCCAGAGTCCTACTACCTATCCCAAAATTAAAGAAATCAGGAATGCGTTTTGTAAAATTAAACAAAAGTTAGAAATTAACGAAATACTTTGCCACAAAATGAAAATAACGAAGTAAAACGTTACTTCTTAAAACAACTTCGTTCCAAGTAATAGTACTCCATAAAGAGTTTACATTGTTACGTGCTGACTTCTCAAAGGTAGTATACTCCAGTGCAGTAGCGAAGTACATTTACTCGTTACTTGACACCACTGCGTGTAGCTTGGCAGTCTTGGGGGCTGTTTATATGAGGCGAGCCAGCTCGGGTACCCGAGCTAGCTCGCCTTAGGCGGGATCCCGTCTTTGTCAATATTTCCTACTAAATTTCATGTTGCGTTTCTATGAGAATCGAGCTGGCCCGCCTAACCGAGGTCCCGCTTTGTGTGACCCGAGACTTCGGGTAAACGGGCTGGGTAGTTTTCCATATAAACGCAACAGGGAGGGCTAGCCCTCCTAGAAGGGCTGGAAATTTAGCAAATACGCATGCGCAAATAATTCAGAATGCACAAACAACTCCCATATAAGGAACCAACTTCCATATATGGAGTTGTTTACGTCAAAAAAAATTAGAACAAAAAGAGCCAGCCCTTCATGTAAGTTTCATGTAAACGCGTGGTGAAATTCATCTCGGGGATGCCAGCCAGCTCGGGTACCCTGGCTGGCTCACTTCCATATAAACAGCCCCTTGGACGCATGTGGTGTTCTGACCGTAGTTGCAAACGTTCCAGGAGTAGATATGGCGATTCGCTTTCGCCAGTTGTTGCACGTTTTCCATGCTGATCTATGAGTTCAGTCGCGAAGTAATTTATAAAGTTAAAAATAAACGTGGTCTGAGCCGAGAAAATCAAAGTTAAAGTTTATACAAATTAACACGATTTTTTATCACGTATAAAACCACCGACACGCCAATGATTTTCTTTGTCTTTGCCTTATGAATTATTAAATGAGGTTTTTTAAGCATTTTAAATTTTTAAGCCTGATAAAGGATTCTCCTTCTAGGAATAGCCAATGCAAGACCAATCATAAAGAGGATACCAAATAAAGCACTCTATGATATTGGAGACGAAGTCAAACTAACATGCAGAGCAGAAAACACTACCAATGGGTATGAAATCAAATGGTACAAAATCAATTCAAATAGAGAGCCAATTGAAATGGAGAAAGCTAAGACCAAATGGATAGGCGAAATTCAACATGAAACTTTGTCATTGAAGTCATTGTCAGCGCAGGATATGGGGATCTACATGTGTAAAATATTCTTTATTGAGTATAGCGCCTCTATGTTGGCAAATATTAAACTTAAAGGTAATTATCATCATATTTTTTATTAACAATTCTTTTAATTAATTTTTTTTTATTTTCCAGGTTCTGTTATTTACGCGAATTTTGTCCCGGGGCCAGTTGTATAAAAACGTAGTTAGTGCTAACTGTAGTTTTAAATACTTTTTTAAAAAACTAGTTAATTTTAAGTATATGTGGTTAGACCGGTTGTATAAAAGTGTAGTTAGCCTTAACTGCAGTTAAAAAATAGTTAAATTAACTAAGCTTTAGGGTATAGTCGTAGGTATAGTTAACTATCAAAGTGTATATCCACACCGGGCGAGCTTGAAAAATATGCCCGACCACGGTGGGAATCGAACCTACGACCTTTGGAATACTAGCCCAATGCTCTGCAACTGAGCTACGCGGTCAGGACGGTTCGAGTGAGAGATATTTCGGAACAGAATCTAGTCCCTTCGATACCAGTGTAATCTTGTAATATGATTTTTCTGTGTTGGTGTTGTGTACTCAGGTGAATATGATGTTTGTGGTGTTACTGTGAGTGTATATCGAAGGGACCAGATTCTGTTCCGAAATATCACTTACTCGAACCGTCCTGACCGCGTAGTTCAGTTGGCAGAGCATTGGGCTAGTATTCCAAAGGTCGTAGGTTCGATTTCCACCGTGGTTTGGCATATTTTTCAAGCTCGCCCGGTGTGGATATACACTCAGAGTAACATCACAAACATCATATTCACCTGAGTACCCAACACCAACACAGAAAAAATCATATCAAAAACGACCTGACCGCGTAGCTCAGTTGGCAGAGCATTGGGCTAGTATTCCAAAGGTCGTAGGTTCGAATCTCGCCGTGGCCAGGCATATTTTTCAAGCCTACCCGGTGTGGATACACACTCAGAGTAACATCACACAAGCATATCAAAAACGTAGTTAAAAATGGCGTTTGTATGAGAGTGAACAACATTTTTTCAGTAAAACAACAATGAAAAGCAACGCTTACCTTGGATTTTCAATCGGTATATCTTCCCTGTCACGTTCTCTGACAATATAAACTCTTCAAACGTTAGCGCTTGGGTTTTTTTATGAAAACGGGACATATTTTTGCACAGGACGATTTCTCGAAGATGAAGTATGGTCCATTACACCAAGAAACTCTGATATATAATTGCCAAACAGCTACACCTTGGTTTAACGTAGACATCTCACGGAAAGCCTCCTTCTTTTATGATTTTCAGTTGTGACGGTTTTGCTTGTTTTCTTATTTATTTTTCACTTTTTTACAGTGTTTTAAATAAAATTCCCGCCTATTTTCAAAATACAAGTCCACAATCATGTTAAAAATTGCGTCTCAGCGGTCGTTAAACACTGCTCACTTTATGTAATTTTGTGTTTAAACGCCCCACGCACAGTTTACTACGTGATTAGTTAACTATCCGACTAACTACGTTTTGTGCAACGTAGTTAAGTCATGTAGTTAACTAATTTCAGTTGAGGATTTAATTAACCGCAGTGATTAACGCTAACTACAGTTAGCGCTAATTACCGTTTTTATACAACCGGCCCCTGACGTGAATGCGACAACTTTGTGTCATTCCAGGCAGAGGCGCCGGAATATCGATAACTGGGGAGCAGATATTCATATATTCGTGTTCACAGACTGTAAAAACAATCGACTTCAAAAGATATATGAATATCTGCCCCCCTCCCCCCAATTATCGATATTCCGGCGCCTCTGGTTCTAGTGCCAGCATTGCCAGTACGAGCATTTCCGGGCTTAAACCCATAATGCCTCTTCCGAAGTGAGAAGTCAACCATTTTTTGCCATGGTCAATTCAACCATGTTTTTGGCACTTGCAACTATTCGCCGAACATGGACTGGACTGGGATGTGTAATAAAAAAGAAAAATGGTTGCCCAACATGAACAATAAACACTTATGTCTGCTCCCTAAGGAAATAGTTTGTTTTGTTTTCCCGAGAGTCTCAATGTTTCCCGAGACGAAGTCGAGTCGATGATTTCTCTTATCCATAATTCTAATGCTTATGAATCTGATACACAATTGTAATGCTTATACAAACCACCAATTGAGCTACAATTTACACAAATTAATACACCATACAGTATAGCATACACGTATACCACTATTATATATGCATACATCAATAAGCGATTTGTTATATAGCGACGAACAAAAATCAACATTCAACAACATTCATACAACAATTGTGTATGGCACACTATGGTCATTACGAAGTGATTGATCGATTAATTCAGCGCTTTAGTGTTACAAAAAGTTTTTCTCTCAACTTTCAAGCATTCAAAATCTAATTCAAGTATTTAATTTCACGCAGTCCCATTGAAACCTGATATTCAAATACTGAATGAAGAAAATAATTTCCATCCGAAAGAAGGAAAGGGTTTTTCACTATCGTACAACGTGTCATCTTACCCAGTCTCTGATATTAAATGGTGGAGATCTGAAGATGGGAAAGAATATGAGTTGATAACTCAGTGTTTGGCGACAAAAACGTGCGAAGTTCACGGAGGAAAAGAAAATATTACGAAGACAAGTTTCGAAATTGATGATCTTAGATTTCCCCAAGATAATTTCTTCTACAAATGTAATGCTAGTAATGACTATGGAAAAGACTCAGAAACCTTTCAATTGGAAGTTTACGGTAATCTAAATAATTATGTTATTTTGAAATCATTTCTGATTTTCTGTTTCTACTAGATAGATTCAATTAAATTTCTCGAATCTCAATTTCAAATATTCATTTCTATAGACTTGTGGCATGTGTCTGACAAATTTTCTAATGAGAATAAAATGACAAAAAGCGTTTAACCGTTTTGTTTATTTTGTTTACTTTCGTTGTTTTTTGGTCATTTTTGTTTTGTTGTGGCATATGCTATATCACAACGCTTCACGTTTCGTGAATATCCCAGCAGTACTCACCCACACTTCGGTAAATAATGTTTTATTATATTTTTATTTCCTTACAGTGAAACCTGAGATTAGTATGCAGACGATATATAGATTCAAGGAAGGGATGATAATTAATTGTTCATTAAAGAGAAGCAATCCTCCAGAAGTAAAATTCACCTGGTATTCATGCAACACTCCCAACTGTGGCGAGAAAAGCCAAAATTTGTCTGAAAAATCTTTCTTACGACTCGACAGTCAACCAAAGTCTGTTATGAAGTATCAGTGCAAAGTCAAAAACGCTGCAGGCAGTGCATCTGAAATCATTGAGGTGTTTAAGTCCGCAGGAAACAGCAGTAAGTCTACCAAATCTAAATTGCAGATTGAATTATGCATGCCGTGGGAATACGCTAGATTACAAATTGTAATTATGTCAATGACTATTCTACAGGGTGTTCCGAAAAAACGTAAACCATTTGAAATCAAGCCTTTGTTTGAATTTGAATGCCTTATTACTATGCTGAACCTGCGGGTGCGTAATATAAAAAAGTATACCTTTTAAAATCAAATTACCTTTGTTGAAATTCGAATGGCTTATTATATCGTGAACTAAGTTCAACAAAATGTAAAGTTATTTAAATGTTTTTTTTTATAACAATAAAAACAAGTTAACAGTGTACGCTGATTGGCTTCGCTGATTTACATTATCGGCACTTAGTCTTGGGGGCAAAACCCCCGGTAACCAAGCATATATTAGGTAGGAATATGGAAGCGTGCTCGATCAGTTGCTTCAATACACCCTGTATTTACGCCTTCATGGATTCAGCATAATGCTCAGGCATTCAATTTATTACAATAGGAAATTTTGAAAAAATATACTTTTTACTGGACACCCTGAACGGAAGTTCTTTAGAAACTAGCCTATTAGTCTGTCAAAAAGAATCAAATTTCTCAGGAGATAATAATATTAATCAGTTTGCTACCTTTTTTACAGGAGTTTTGATAATCATGCTTGGTTGAGTTTAATATATATACAGTAGAATATTTTAATACAAATTATAATTAGTTTACAGTAATGTTTATATATTGGTTTTGTCAGCAAGGCGAGGATTTCTGCATGCATGTATCTCTAGTCTTTAAAATCTTCCAAAATGCAGAAAACTCCAGTGTCGAGATTCCAGATTATATAAGTTTATTTCATCGAGGGAGTAAGACCTCAAACGCCGTACAGTAGCTTAACTGTACTACTATAATGGATACTCTGGCCATGAAACAATTTTCAGATCGTTCTTGCAATAATAGCAGGGCAACAGAGCTTTGGTGTCTCATGGGCACTACAACACATTCCCACTTACACTCCTGGCAAAAACTAATGAAACATCCAGTATGATTAACAATTTAATCTATTCTTCTCCACTTTCCCCCATACAATGTTGATTAATATGAGTAAAAACCTATACGTAGAGCTCTCCGTCATCGATGAACTATTGAATACAATTTTTTAGACTCTATGGCCAACATTGTTAAGGCGGGAGGAGATTTTGTCTATTTTATTGATTTTTTTTATGTGTTTTATTAACTTTTTGCCAAGATTGTAGCTTGAACTGCAATGCTTGCTACGTCTGCAGGCGACTGCAGCTTTATTAATCTATTTCCAAAGCCACCGATACGAACAAAATATATATTTCCTACCACCTTGCAAACTAAGGACGAACTACCCGAAAGAGTGCCTTCAGGAGTTGGGCAGATCCATGGACCCGCTCGCAATCACGACCAGAAAGAACAATGGCAAAGAACCTGGCATTCTGGGCACAGTGACGAATTTTCATGCACTTTTTCTTCTGCTTTACTTTGACCTATTTATAAAAAAATAAGTCTCAAATTGGGGTAAAAGAGTCCTCGTTAATTTCACAGAGTCAAATAATGATTGTGGTTTTGCAGTTTTCAATCTTGCATTGTCCATTCTACCTGCAAATTAAACTTTTTGATATAAAGTATATTTTGAATAAACAGCAGTTCACCTCCTTAATATTAAGCACATGCATGTTACCAATATGTACTATCTAGAGATCCTCAGTTGAGAAGAATTCACCCTGAAATAATCTTATTATAGGGACAGTGTGATGTAGAACCTGCACAAAATTTATTAACAATAGCTAATTTGTTTGCAAAAAGGTATCCCTAACCCAAATTCATCTGACCAGAGACACACACTGATCTTGATCGTCGTTCCAACTGGATTGATATCCATGATAATTGTGGTTGTGGCAGGGTTTGTGTTGTACAGAAGAAAGAAAATGTACGGCGGGTTTTACCTGTTTTCATATCCTCCTTTACCTGACTACATCAAAAGCATAAATAGAAATGGGAATATTCAAGAACAGCTTCAGCAACTGCCGTTTATACCAGAATGGGAGTTTCCTAGGGAAAGGATTAGCTTTGGTAGGCAATTTATTTTTGTACAATAATCAACCAAGTGTAATTAACAGCATGAGCTCCACCTTTGAATTTACTCCACCTTTGAGTAAATTCTTAAACATGTCCGAATTTATCATTATGATAAATTCGCGGCAAATTTTGAATTTATCATAATAATAAATTCGCGGCACCTAACACTAACCCTAACCCAACCCCAACCACTAACCCTCTAACCCCTAATCACTAACCACTAACCCCTAACCCTAACTTTTTGACTTTTTAAATTTTTTTAACTTTTTTAACTTTTTTTAAAAATGTAACTTTTTAAAGTTTTTTTGCTTTTTAAAACTCTTTTCAAACTTTTTAAAAACTATTTTTTAAAAAAACTTGAAAGACTTAATTTATTTTTCTCTCCTGTAAGAACTACAAAAATGCCAATATAAACTTGAATGCAGTGGTTTCTTTATTATAATGCAGTCTTTCTGTTTTCCCAGCATCTTTATCCCAGCAAATTGCCTGTAGTTAGCCTCACAGAAAATCATTTTCGAAATAAGTTACGAAATAACTTAAAGGCACAGTTCAGCCTGTTGAACGATGGTTTTTAAGGCGCATTTCAGCCCTGTTAATTGAAAAACTAACTAGGAAAATCAGTTAAGCATAATTCAAAATCAGTAAACTCGATGTTTTTAACAATATGAATGTTTTAAAATGTTAAAAACATTAAGATTGGTGATTTTGAATTATGCTTAATTGATTTTCCTAGTTAGTTTTTTCAATTAACAGGGCTGAAATGCGCCTTAAAAACCATCGTTCAACAGGCTGAACTGTGCCTTTAAAATATTTTTCAGACAGTGAACTTGGCTCTGGACAATTTGGAATTGTTTGGTTAGCAGAAGCAATTGGTATATCTGCATTTCATCCTAGAGACATGTTGAGAGAGAGGGAGGGCGGACGAAGGTTTTCCTTGTTCAATCGCACAACGAAAAGAAACAGCTATGTCTTTTGCACAGAAGTAACACAAGTTGCAGTTAAAACGATGAAAGGTTTGATTTCATGCTCAAAATTTAATGCAGTACCTGTATTTTATTAGATTTATACTCCTTACATTTAAGAAGCTACTTGCCGATAATTCATTCGTCGTAACAAATCTGAGAAATACGTACAGTACCTGATATAAATATGGCCATGGAGCGCATGTACGCTTGGCACAACCACATAAATTCAGTTTCCGTATTAATGCCGTTGTCTGCCGGAATATAATTTCGCCTCTGAGGCCAAATGCTTTAGGTTTTCACGGTTAACTGCGTTTACCTCCTTACTAATACTGGACAAGAAAGAAGATAAAAATCAATGCTGAGTTATTAACTATGTCACTGATAATATAATATATGTGTGATATAACACGTAATTTGATTGCTAATGTGCGTGCATGCATTATAATGTAATTACTGTTATGCATGCACTGTCTTGGTGGCGGCGCTGCCTGAAATAGTCTCCCTCGCAGACGTTCTTATAGCTCTAACTCTCGCTTACTAAGGGGCTGCACATTCCATCCCCTCCGATCGACCAATCACAGCCAACCTTGTATATTTTGGAAAGTCATTTAGTGTCGGAAAGTCATTTAGTGTCAGAATATTCGCCAGATCCGACATCCGAATACCTTTCGTAATACAGATCCGACATCCGAATATTTTTTCTGTGAAATCCGACGATCAGAATACCTATTCAACCCCATCGAACTTCGCTCTACGTTTCTGCATGACAACTAGACCTTAATCTTAATCTCACAATAAGAAGGCTTCCAATTGGCGGTAACTCCTGAATACTGCCAGATGATTTGCTCCTAAAACAAAGGGAATGGAATGTGCAGCTCGTTCAGCAGACGTTAGTTAGCGAGGGTTAGAGCTATAAGAACGTCTGCGAGGGAGACTTTACCTGCAAGTGCCTGAAGCTAACTACAATCCTTGAATTATGTCGGCTAGCTTGATATATGAAAATTTTTACACTATGAAACATAAGTCAAAAACATTTCTTCGATGGCCGGTGCCCTATTGCAATTTGCAAGCTTCAAGTGAAACGGGCAAGTTTGGACCATGCCGGACTAACTGCAATTATTTTTTATTACCTGCAAAAAACGACATATGCAGGCATGAAATAATGTAAATGGATTTTGTAGATAGAAAATAATATTCAAGCGAATATATATAGCGCTACAATTTTGGATCTGACGATCCGAAGCACCTGCGACGAACTGGAAGGTTATAATTAATTATAGAAAGTTCACAAGAAGAACGGCAACGGTGGCAACAATGACGCAGTTTGTTTGATGAAACCTAATTATTATCTAAACTTGATTGTTATTAAATCATTTTAACGTGTTGCAGAAAATTTTGATCGAAATGACCTGGCTGACTTGCAGTCCGAACTAAAGATTTTAATTCATGTTGGTGAAAATGAAAATATTGTAAATATACTAGGTGCTTGTACAAAAGGTTAGTAATCCTACTAATTCTGTTCTTAATTTCTAGAGGGTGTGTAAAAAATTGAAAGTGTCTGAAAATTTTGCACATTCGTTAAAATTTATATGAATATGCATGAATAGTTAAGTCTCTTTTGATTTCTTTGACAATAAATGTGTCTTAAAATTAAACTTTGAAGTGTAAAGAGCTGTTTTTGCCAATCAATAGTTTCCCGGAAATAATTGGAAAGTGCAAAAAGCTGTTTGCACCAATCAATGGTTTCCCTAAAATAAATTGGAAATTAAAGTTGAAGATGCGTCTCGAACTCGTAGAGATCAAGTTGGCCTCATGCATTAACTATCAAAGATCAAATTAATTAAACAATTGTAATATTTCATTTGATGAACATTGAGTCCTTCCTGAACTGGAACGGTCATTGAAATTTGGTTGTTTTGCTGCTTTACATTTTATCTTAGATTTAGTTCAGACATTTCAAGCATTAGAATTTTATACATGATTAAATTTTATTCCTGTCAACATATAAAAAATTCAATATTCAGTGATATAACGGTGGACATAGTCGTCTTGAAACTGTTTCTAACTTGACTAACTACCTGCACATGATCCGTTGGTGAATGTCATTTTTTTAGAAAGATTTTTGCATACTTGTAGCTCTTTTATTGTGGGAATTAGCCAGTCGGAATACAATGTCATTTTGGTATTGGCCGTTATAAATTATAATGGTTCATAAAGAACGTTATAAACTTCACTTTCATGAATCCAATCATATCAAATCACTCGATTTTGTTTGGAAGCTTGATTGTCTTTCAAAACAAGATTAAAAAGTGTCTACAGTCCCCACAGTAATTTCTAAACTAATTTCCATAGGCAAAAGTTCAAACCTTTGGATAATAATGGAATATTGTCCAAATGGTAATCTTAGAGAATTCTTACAAAACAATCAGAGTCGATACAGCGTGGAGGAAGAATCGTTCGATCCAGACATCTCCCAAGTGTTTGGTCCAAGAAATATTATATATGTTGCTTGGCAAATTGCAAAAGGGATGACATTTTTAACTTCAAGAAAGGTAAATTTCCCCCCATCCTAGTATAAGACTAACTAGATCCTGTTTTCCCCTTTATTTTACAGGTATTTGTGCGGAAAAAATTTATTGAACCTTAATTTAACTGTTGTTTGTCCAGGATACATTTTTGAACCTTTGTTTTTGGAAATGTGCGGAAAATCCCCACGCCCCGCTCAACAAAAGTTTTGGTAAAAATAGTGGTCTCGAATTAAGAATTCGAGTTCTTTCTACTAGAGGACAGACACCCAGAATTACGTCACACAAAACCTTCGAATAGGCGGAATAGCATTCCGTCATTTGTATAGATCATATATACGCATGATAGCTACATTTGTAAAATTTCGTCTTTTTCAAATTTCCAAATGCCTTTCAAAAATGGGTGGATAAAAAGTAAGCTATTTACCCATTTAATTAATATGGGGGGGTTTCTTTTTATCATATAAAAACAAATACCTCAGATTTTGCCGTTGTCTGTGCAGTTTTAAATACACAGTAGCCTATGACAGCATTAATGTGGGAAGAACAAAAAAGTGACCCACTCGCCTCAGCGGCTTGTGCCACTTTTTTGTTTTTTCCACATTATGACGTCATATTGTGTATCTATAACTGAACAGACAACGGTAAAATCTTATCTATTTGTTATTAAATAGAACCATCTATTTTGTACAGTGAGCCTGGCGCGATCCAGTCTAACAACCTATCATTGTACGTTGGCAAGGTGGTACTAACATATAAATAAATATTTTTGAAATATTTTTTTCCTGTTATATTCCTGCAGATAATTCATCGAGATCTGGCTGCACGAAATATCTTACTTGGACGGGGATATGTAGCAAAAGTTTCAGATTTTGGATTAGCCAGAGATGTTCATAAACATCAACAATACTTAAAAACATCAACTGTAAGTTTACAACCCTCAATTTTGCTGATAATTGTATTCTTACTATTCTGAAATGTTCAGTTTTTAAAAAAAATCCCATCGCTTATTGCTCATAATCTAAAAATCTAACAATGTAAAAATAATTATAAAAATTGTAAAGGCAGATACAAATTAGGCACCAAAATATGCTCTTAACTCAGTCGTGAGAGGACGAGTGACTGCTACTTTCCGACCCTTTGCGCACATCTGTTGCCTAAAGGCTAATTTCCACTCCGGAAAATAAGCAGCGGATCGGACCGGATTGGAACAAACCGTTTGATCCGGCGACGTTGCTGGCCGGATAATAAAAAGTTGAAATATTTTCAACTTTTTTTGGTCCGGTCCTGCGGATTAAACCTGGCAACTAATCAAAATGCCGTATTATCTCGCATAAATTAAAATAATTGAATTAAATAATACCTGTATAAAATTTACAAAATGCAGGATAATTCAGGAGCTTAATTTCTTGGAGAATTCGAGGGAGAATTTACAAGAATTGGAGAGTACAACAGCTCTTGGCAAAATATAAAATTGCTTAAAAAATATTCCTGCTCGTATAGCTTTACTCTTCTATCAATAAGTTGTATTCACTTTTCCATTGTCTTTCCTGAAAACTTTTTCTTATCCAAATGCTCTTTTTGTACTTTTCTTGTTTTCTTATCCTTTACTGGCGATCACGTAACAAAATAAGATGAGAGAAACGCTTGTTCAGAGCCGCTGCCATTTTAAAATGAACGCGAAATAGTAATTTGTGCGACTGGAACGAGCTCCATTTGTTCCTTTTCCGATCCGATCATCCCACTTGTCTTTTTACTAGAAATCGTTTGTTGGATCGCGATCGGACCGGAACGGAAAATCCTCCGATCCGGTCCGATCCGCTGCTTATTTTCCGGAGTGGAAATTAGTCTTTACTCAAATATAACTGATCCCACGAGACCTGTTTGTACGATGCGGTCAACCTCGTTCCCAGGGCTTCAGTGTGAGGACGAGACGAGACACGAGGAAGCCCTGGTCTGGGCCGGTCACGTGTCTACCCAAAAAATGCAGTATTTGACAGCTACTCGTCAAGGAGTGGCGAGATATTCTTTAATGAAATATACAAGTCTTCGAAACAAATAAATAGCCAAAAGACTTCTCAATCGATATTATTTATGTGTAGAGCGAAGTTTGGCACGAATCAGCTGAAATCTATGAAGATCCCGTCTATGTTTTCTAAGATATACCGATATTTCTGGAGATTTTCAACTACAGGCAAAGCTGCATCCAAGCTGCATCTAGGCGTCTCCATGCAAGTGGTGATTCACACGAAATTTCCTTTCTCTCGTCTTGAACAATATGGCTATTGCTATAATTAATATTTAGTTTAAATATGCTCTTATAGATCTGACTTAGTTCAATATAAATAAACACAAATATAAAACCTCGCGTAACCTGTTTACGCTGTACAGGAATATACGGATTCGCTTGTTTCGCCGGACACCAACACTTGCCGTTCAGGAGCAATGCTTGCCTACAAATTTTATCCCCTTCACAATCTTTGTTTTATTTTATCGTATAGTCGCAATTTTCAAGTATTCGGGGTATTCTGAAACTGTAAAACTCGGTGGCGTGCGAATCTTGTAGAGACTACATCGGCCTAGGCGTAGAGCTATTAAGTAAACAGGGCCTAAATTAATTTAGTAGTTTCATTTAATTGTTTGTCTTGCTTTTATTTGTCAGTACAGAATATTGTAAATTAAAATATTACTACAATGCAATACGCGTAGTATTTCATCAGACATCTGCACTAATAAATACTGTACAAGGAAAACTACAGCTTAAATAATAGTAGACGTTTCTTGTTTTGTCAGGAAACATCACAGCTCACTTCGACACGGCTTTTGAGTTTTGTAACCGGCCGAGGCGAAAGTAAATCATGCAGTCGGGAAAACGTCTTACTTTGAAAGATTATTTTGCAAAACATACTCGTACACACAAGAATCATAAAAATACAAATGTTGAATTGTTATTGTCAACTGTCAAGTTCATATATTTTTAGACAATATGGTATTAGCCAATCAGAATGCAAAATTGACCGGCCCAGACCAGGGCTTCCTCGTGTCTTGCTTCGACCTCACACTGAAGCCCTGGAAAAGAGGTTGCGATGCGGTCGGAATCTGCCACCAGTATATATCGATCTATCTCTACAATTCGAGCCGCGCAACTTACATCGCCTAAAGTTATTCCGCTCGGCTTCATCGATCATGATTTACGGACCGGTCATTAATAATGGGATGGAGGGCGGTCGGTGAGAAAAGGGGCCGGCTTCAACTCTTTTTGCCTGAATTGGAGGCAGCCTCAAACTGAAAAATATGTGACAAGGGGCGACACCTGTTTGTACAATGAGGTCGGAATCTGCCACCAGTATATATTTATCTAGGTTTACAAATCGAACTGAGCGAGTTACATTGACTAAAGTTGTTAGAGGTGTGCATCGGATCGGATTGGACGTTTAAAATCCGACAATTGGCCAATGTTTAAAGTCAAATCCGATCCGATCCGAAATTATCTAATCCGAATCCGATCCGATCCGAGTTTTGATAAATCTTGATAAAGAATTGCGATCCGATCGGAAGAACCCTTTAATAAAATAAATTTTTCATTTAATTGGAAATATTTAACCAAATAATAATTATCATATATAATTAATTCATTTCATTTCGAATATAGAAATCCGATCCGATCTGACTACGAAATATTTTTCTCAATTCGATCCAATCCGAAGTGAATATTTTTGTTCCGAAATCCGAACGAATCCGATCGGATCGGATTTGCACACCTCTAAAAGTTATTCCGTTCGGCTTCACCGATCATGAATTAGGAACCCGTCATTAATAATGGGATGGGGGGCGGTGCATGGGTGAGAAATAGGGGGAGGCTTCAACCTCGTTCGGCGGCTTCAACTAGTTTTGACTGAATTGAGGGCGGCCTCAAACTGAAAAATATGTGAGAAAGGGCGACACCAATTTTTTTAACACTTATCTACTCATTTTCAATCTCTCGACTCTCGCCTTTATCGTATCCCACAAAATATTTCACCTTTTTTAGTTCCTATATTTGTAGTTTCCATAGTTTATTACGTATATGCAGTTCACCATAAGAGCCGGAGTAAATAACAACCATTTTGAATACTGCTCCTCTAATTATTTAGGCTACACAATGTCTTACACCAGTACTTGTCCCATTACCTATTTTACACCCCTCTCATTATTAATCACCGGTCCCTAATAATTCTTCTGTCTCGTTAGTCAACAATTCTGAAGGGTCAATCAAAAGTGATTTACAAACGCTGTTATCAACATTTCTCGAAGGATAAATGTACTGAGGATATAAAAAAAGCTCCATTTGACTTGGTTAACATGTTTGATGACGCGCAAGACGCTCTTGATGTATTTATGAATCTATTCAAATGGAATTGTAAACACTCGTTAAGAAAATTTACTGCATGTGAGATCAAAATTGGCCCGTGGTTGATAGAATACGAGAAATAATGCTTCTTAGGCTATAGAGACATGGCTAAACTTGGCGCAAAAGTATTTTGTTTCCCATTGGATTTGGCTGTTTATCGGAAATTGAGGAACTATGTAGTCAAACTCAATCGGGAAAGCAAGAAAGCGCATTACTTGAAGGCCATTAATCAGAATAAATCTGATCCATGCAGGAGTAATGTGGAAAACGATTAATAGCTAACTTATTGGGACGCTCTAGTTCTGTTTCCCGACAAGTGTTGAATGCTGGGTGGGGGGACTCCTTACCTAACCAAAAGATATTTCGAATCATTTTATGTCATACTTTAATGAAAAAATTAAAAAGTATAAAGATCAAATTATTGGAACTATTGATACGGAGTATATTTCAAATTCTATTAATCGATCCATAAATGGAAAGGGTTGTTAAATTCGAATTCACTTCTGTTACCTCTAGTGAAGTTAGGAAATGTCTAACTAATATAAAAATTTGGACAATAATTGGTAATGAATAATAACGAAATTGATAACTATCTCTTAATATGGATAATCTAAAGATTTGTAAGACATTGTAGGTGGTTAGGCATATATTTTAATATCTACTGTAGAAGATTACGTGTACTGTAAGTTAGCTTTAGATAATTGTGGATATTTCAACAATTATTACAATTAAAATTAAAATCTATTTCATGTTGGAAGCACTACGTGTGTTACCTTGGATACAAGGTCTCGCTTTCGTGTTTAAGGTTTTGATTTTATCTTACACATTTAAAAACACGAGTCTAGTTTGGTAAAGGGACGTACTTTCCGTAAGAATGCATTCCTGAAATGTGGCATTTTAATTTCTAGGGATTGGTTCCTTTCAAATGGATGGCTCTTGAGTCTATCAGGAATTCATTATTTACTGAGAAGTCAGACGTGTAAGTAAAATTGTTGCCAGAGTGTTTCTTAAACACGATTATTATCGACAAAAATTACCCAGAAACATGTGATATGAAAGACCTTTTCAGATATTCTGGCGAATATAATTAGGGCAATATATTTAATTGAAAGAGTATATTACTCAAAAAAGAGTTTTAAAAACTCGCATGTGCGATGAGCGCGTGAGCTAGTGATTGCTCTACTTTGGGAGAATGCATCGTTCAAAAAACTTACTGATTATAGTGAGAACAGTTTTCACTGGCCTTAGATAGCTTGTTTACTTGAATATCGAAATTTGAAAGGCACGTTTTTGTTTCAAACATTGAAATTGAAAGGTTTTAATAGGCATTTAAGGTTTCTCAATTCCAAGGCAATTATATATTCTGAATAAATATTTGAAGGCGTTTATTTGTTCATCTCTACAATCAGGTGGTCATTTGGTATTTTACTGTGGGAAATCTTCTCGTTGGGTGAGTAACTTTAGCCTTTCTTTTATTGTTTCTCGAAATTGTTAGTGCTAGCTATAAACGAATTGATAGACATTCAAGATGGGGAAGAGGGGGAGGGACAGTCTCCCCACTGAAAATTTCCAGTTGGGCAGATTGCAGACATATTGTAATTGGGAAAATTTGAAACATAAGTTGGGCAAAAATATGTGGGGGGGTATGAAAATCAAGAAATATGGAAGATAATAATCGAAAAAAGCAAAAATATATAATGTGGCCATTCTCGTACCCAGAGCCCTTTTTACGCGAGGGGAGGCGAGGGGCTCTGGCCATATCCATATTCCGAACTGGCATCTGATTGGCTAGTTATAAAACCGGATATTGTTTTCTTACCATGTTTTTATGGTATCCGGTTATAGATTTGGCCAGAGCCCCTCGTCGCACCGCGCGTAAGAAGGGCTCTGGGTACGAGAATGATAATGTGGCTAAAAATGTTAAGCTCCCCCCCCCCTCCACCCCAATATTTGAAGTTTAGCAGGGAAAACAGTCTTTGATTTGTCGGGAAAACTGCAACGAAGTCGGCGATTTTCTTTCTGCCCCACTAGTTTTTCCCTCCCGTACACCTATGCACGAAATGTATCATCACTTTGCATTGTTTGAAACGTGTCAGTTTGAGAATCAATTTCATTCAATAAGATGCAGTGTGTACATAGTCATAACTAGTATCAGTGGTAAAATATATTCCTTTCAGGTGAGACTCCTTACCCAGACATGTATTTTAATGACGTACATCAATACTTGTTGCAAGGAAAGCGAATGGAACCTCCTATTCATTGTCCTGGGGATATGTGAGTACTAGTAGCAAATGTGACTAATTTGGATCACAACGAAATTAAAAAATAGACTGATTCGCAAAATTATTGTCATTCTTTTTTGTTCCGGAACTAATTTCAACCGAAGTAATTCACTGCCGCCTTACAGAATACTTCAAGACTAACAGTTTAACAAAGTATACATATATAATAACATAGGCCTATATGAATTTTTTTCGTGAAATTAATTAAGTGCTAGAAATACTCGTTTTAGTGATTTTTAAACATTTTAAGGGGTTATTTAAATCGCTTGCGTGGATTATTTTCAAACTTAAACTCTTACACTTTGCCTCTGTTGAAAGATGGTTTATTGCATGTATAGACTGGTAATGCTAAACTACAAAATAATGCAAAATTTGGCCGGGTAGCTAGTTTTTGAATCAGTCAATAAATTAACTGCTCATTAAGTAGTAGACGTACGATTCGTCTCAATATTCGAGCAACATGCAGGTATCCAAAAATAAATGATAACAATGAGAATGGAATACTTCTACATTACTTATAGTAACTCAACATCGGTATAGTCTGATGATATGATGGTCGGGAAGCCCGGCAAACTTCAAAGCTACAAGATTAGAAGGCATTTGTTTGATGATGAACTGTATCTCACCGTGCACAAATCAACACCGCGGAAAAATGTCTGCGCATGCATGGGGCACAAAAAAGATGGCGAGGAATTTAAATGCCAAATTGTTAACAAAAACATGGCTATTTAATGATTCAAGGTAATTGAAACAAACAAATAAATACACTAGACGGGTAGCGTAGACATGAATAAAAATATTTTAACATTTAAAATCTAAAAAGAAACAGAATTTAAATTAAAAATTACCGTTTAAGACCGGGAGGCGTATGAACATTTCTTGAAAAATTGTCGAATACCGAACTTAAAGCAAAAAAGTTAAGAAAACTATAGAATAGTTAAGCATTTGCACACAATTAAATTGTAGAGTAAATCATTACCCTTAAATATAGTCAACGCAAAAATTATACATGCTTCGCAAAAAAAGTTATTGACAAAAATGTGGATCATATAAACCTACGAAAAATGTCTTTGTATGATTCAGTTAAAGAACGTTTTATACAGTAAATTTATTGACAGTCACCTTTGGTTTATTTTCTTGCATAATACTACTTCTTGCGCATGTAGACTATAATTATTTCTAATTTTTAAGTTGTCACGTTAAATTATTCCGCTTGCATTCCAGGTGATCTCGTGTTCGTATTTTAGCCAATCAGCGCTCAGAAAGGGTTGTCCGAATAGAAATCCATTTTGATGTATTCATTCAATTATATCTTTCATTATTCTTTATGAAACTAGTTGAAATTTTGTAATTATGTTTGGTTATGAGAACTATAGCTCTGACAAAAATATGGAATCGAAATAAAGTATATTACAGGAGATATTCAGTTGTTTTAATCATAAAATGGATTTCTATTTGACAACTAGTGCCAGTACTTTTCCGCGTATCAAAATCACCTGGTTTTCATAGAAAAGGCAAAACATCGAAGTCGCTTACATTTTGAGTTTATGACAACATTCGGAACACTTGACATCACGTTCGCAATACAGATTTCAGTAATGTTGACGCATGCGCAGACGTTTTTCCGCGGTGTTGCACAAATCCTATGTCTCAACTTCATTAAAGATGCTGTAGAGTCGACCGTTCTGCGCATATATTCTGTGCAGGCCATATTTTACAGCTGTAGTGCTGAGTTCAAAATGTAAACAAAGCGTTTGTTTACATTACTTTACATCACCTTTAACTATTATGCTCGTTTCAATCAATCAATCAATCAATCAATCAATCTGTTTAATTAAAACCAATTTGCAGTTTTTAAAGGAAAACTGAATTACATGGAGTACTAATATAGCA